GGGCAGACCATAGAAATAGGTCCCTGCTCCGTGCGAAGGGGGAGTGCCACTGAGAGGTTACACTTTATCAGGTGGTGATCTGACCATGACAAGGGGACCAACATGAAGTTGGTCACCATCAGATCACTTTCTCTCCAATTAGTGGAAAAAAACAGGTCCAACGTATGGCCACCCATGTGGGTGGGGCCTATGACATGTTGGGACATGTTCAAGGAAGCCATGGTTTCCAAGAACTCAAGAGCTAGCCCAGTGGTCTATGCCCCCGCATGCACATTGAAGTCACCCAAGACCTAGAGCCTTGGGGACTCCAACAATGCCGCGGAGACAAAGTCGGCCAGCTTCGGTAGGGAAGTGACTGGGTCGCAGAGAGCACAGTAACCCAGCAAAATCTCAATACCATCCCTAGCCCTAATCGACATGTGGAGTGCCTCTAGACCTGGCTTTACCACCGAAGAGCACCTAGTAACCTCTAAGATGGATTTGTAAACAATGGCTACTCACCCCCCACACACCCCTCCAGTCTACCCTGGTGCTGGACAGCATAACTGGGCGGGCAGATGAGAGCCAGGGGAGGACCCCCCCCACTAATCCACGACTCAGTTATGCATGCCAGGTCTGCATCCTCCTCCAGGATAAGATCGTGGATCACCTGGGGTTTATTGGATACGGACTTGGCGTTCAACAGTACCAGGTTTAGAGTGGAGGGCTGGCTGGGCTGGCTACCTCGATACTGAGGGTTGATCACAGTCTCAGAACAATGAACAGCCTTCGAACATCTTCTCATCGTTCTTCTGACACGAGTAGGAACCTGTGCCAATGTCAAATCTCCCTCTACCCCTGATCACTGGGATGTTAAAAGGCCCCTCGCTGGGCAGACCGTGCCTTCCACTCCATATCCAAAAGAAAAAGAAAAAGAAAACTAATAAAGGAACAATTACCCTAAATTAATAAAACAAACTTAAATACAAGATAGATACATAAATCCAATACAATACTATACAATAAAAATCCCAAATTATAAACCCCTTGTGAATAAAATTAAAATTATAAACCCCTTGTGTATAAAATTAAATACAGTAAAATTTTAAAGGAATCATGTGCTTAAACCCCACACATAGTCCTTGTCTTTCCTCCTCCTCCACGTAACCTGGTCCTTTCAAATATTGCAGGTTTCGATGTTATTTTTGGTGTTATTAGAGCTGATGTTAATGAATATAATGATAGAGTTACTGGAGTATAGGCGTTACCCATGGAATATACCACAAAGGTATGAGAATGGGAGTGAACAAGATCCAAAATACAGATGGTGCAATCACTGGCCTTTCCCATCCCTGAGGTAGAGACAAAGCGTCTCTGCAGTAAATCCGAAGGAAGGAGACTGAGCAAAGCGATCTTAGGGAACGTCCCGTCCCTTGGAAATCCAACATGGCGACCAGCCAGGCAGAAACCAGAACAGTCAGTTCTCTCTCCCTCACAACCACCCAGAGTTTCGCCCCACAGCCTTGCACACCGAATCTGTTCATTCCAGGGAAGGTAAGAAGGGAATAAGCCTTTGTAAATGGCCATGGTTTCCCACAGAAAGAGGTCTGTGTCCTAAACTTATTTCCTAATAAGAATGCTTGAATTCATTTTCATCCTTCATTGGAGCAATCAAAAAACAACTAGAATCTGGCTTCTTTTCCTAAATAAACTACCAGCAGCAAGGAAAGAAAAGTGAGCATGTGAAGTGGGTGGACATGCTCCAATGCCCATTCAATTTCAGAACTTTATCTGTGCTAACCAGGGAATTTTTTTAAAAAAAGGAAGTGTCCCAATCTCTGATGCAATGATGTGATCAGTTCAATTTCTGATGCACATCTCTAGCTTCATATTTTGTACTGATTGCCTTCTCTACCTGCTTGATAAAGACATGATTCTCCCAACATGATTTCTCCTTCTTGATGCCATTTCTTTCTGATTCTGTGTATTGTGCTACTAGTTTTACACAAAAATACAATATACACCAATACTGGAATTATTGGCATTGGTTTTGGGGACTATTCCTCAATTGTTGACACCGAAAAAGAAAAAAGAACTTGAATATGTAAATAACTTTTCCACAGCATTACAGCTAGATCAAGCATGCTGTGGGCCACCCTCCAAGTATCTAGTACACATACCGTAAGTAGTCGGCGTTACAAAAGACTCAGGAAGTGCTCCTGAATTGTTGTACATGGCTGCATCTAACAAAAGAAGAAAGCATTATCAGTCTAAGCCACAACAGGTAGTAGACTTTAATCTGATTTTCAAAGGTGTTCCACAAGACAAGGACATATTCAGTGCATCATGGGATGGTACTTCAAGACCACCCATTTCACTTCACATCAACATATTTACTTGCTGTAGTATCTTTATGGCAATGTAATGCACATAGCCCTATTGCTTCCTTCTTGTGTGTCAGTATACTGAACTACAATAAAACATGCATCTCTCCCTATCTAATATTGTCCTTCCTCAGACAGCTTTCACCAATTAGAAATAAAAACAAGTCTAACTTACCAATTCAAAATATATCTATATACATGGCACAGGCCCTCTGCATAACTTGCAAAAATAGGGGAGATGAGTATCTTAAACGAGCAATAGGGATGTAATTTGCATGCAGATGATCCCAGATTCAGTCCTTGGCATCATGAACAGAAAAGTCACTTCTAACTAACCTCCACAAAAGTTTCTGTCTGAGGCAGTCCTGGGTGATGGAAGCCTAATAATTTTACTGTACTTATCAATCATCAAGCAATAGGAAGGGCTTTAACTGAAAGGGTATGTTTTTCATGCAAAACACTCCACACTAAGTTCTTAGTACTTCCAGTTAAAGGTAGCAATGAACAACTGGACTCCTCCAGATGTTCTGGGTCTGGAGGGCCACAACTGCCAATCCCTATGTTAAGAAAACATGATAAATGTATCACCTAGACTCGAGTACTGTCAGGTAGTAGCTCTGGGGAAAAACAGCAATTTCTGTATTCCTCTGCCTCTTGGTCTTGCACAAATACATCACAGTTCCTGCATCATGCCTGTGTCATACCTGATTGGAAGGTGATCTCACTGAACATCATCCAGCTGTCAGCAAAGTAGAACTGGCATTTGATAGCACTGGCCATGTAATGGAGAAGGGGTACTGTGACAAATCGGGCACTGGGGTTCACATCATCTAACACCAGCACCGAGGAGATGCCATTGGGCTCCCACTCATTTGCATCAGAACGGAACTGGCATTGCACTTCCTTGAAAATCTTCACCCCCTTGGCAAACATGTTGTTGCAATGAACCTATAAGGGAGAGACAACAGGTGGCTGAGTAGAAAAAAACAGGTTTCTACCCTGGGCCTAACTAATGGCTTCCACCCAGGTTGGTCCCTTTCTGAGAGTCCTACTGCTACACGTTAAACAGTGTGAGAGCCAGACAATCAGTAGGTGGGTCTCTTCCTGGCATTGACGCTGAAGATGAACACAGATGTGATCAAATGGCACGGGTCCTTTGAGAGAGAGTTTACTGTTCTTATTTCACTCCTGGGGTAAGATCTCAACATTTCATTGATTGAAAAAAACGAAAATATTTGAGATTTCATTTGCAGAATTTGTGGGTGCATGCTACAGGTGGCCCTAGTAAGGACTGAGTCAAGAGAGCAACATTTTCTCCTTCTCTCCATTACAATTTGGGATCATTCAGTGATCAGCAATCAGTTCAGAACATATTTAAAGCTCTTCAAGATGGAGTGTTTGTTCTCTGGAAATCACCTGGTTTGTTGCTGAATATATTGTCTTTTTCTGTCCTTCAAGTGACACAAAGCTTCACATGGTATGTCCAGCAACAGAACTATGACTCTGTGAACTATTTTGCCCCTTCCTGACAGTATGGGTAGCAGGAGATTGCTTTTTAAACTTATTTTATAGGGTAAATAATAAATCCTTTCCTCTCCAGCCATACCCCACACAGTCTGACTGTAGTGCTGGCAGGGAAAGGACTCTGGCCAGTATGAGGGGGTGCAACTCTACTGAGGAAGAAGCTGCTGCTGGTGGTGCCGACACCACTTTCAAGTTTTCCACCTTGCTCCTCCTCCTCTAAGTCGCCCGTCACCCTCTCCTGCTCCTTTTCTCCCTTTTTGTCTTTTGTCTTTTCTCCATTAACACTTTCACAAAGAAGAGGGGCAAAAGACAGAAGAGGAATTGAGTGTTTTGCCTATATGGAAGAGCCCTATCTACGAACAGCTATAACTGAGGCAGCATGCTTCACTTCAGTTCAGTTTCTGATTTAACTCAGCCTCTATACGTCTTTGTTTCAGCTTCTGTTTTACCTTGGCGTAGGTCAGCCATTCTCAATGGGTGCCAAATGGCCCCCAGGACTCCCTGGGATGTTTGAAGGGGGAAGACTGGAAACAATTCTTCACACCACATTTTAAGATTCATTATGCGACTTACACAATCCTGACTTGACCTATATATCTTTCTTATTGTGTTTTTGGTCCTGGCCAAAAAAGCAGTTGAGAATGGCTGGTCTAGGTGACCCGTGTATGTATTCAAAATTCATACCCCGATGAACATTTATATGAATGAAAAAGATGATCTTATTTCATCAGGCATGTACATATAATGGGAGATTTTGTTCTCTCTGCATGTCTGGCCACATCCTTCATTGAGGAGGGAATGGTAGAATATATGACAGACTTCTAACATCCAGTGTGAAATCAGACAGAGTGGAGAAGACATGAAGGAGGTGGGAGGAGGGAAGAGAGAGAGAGGAACTCTTATGGTGTGGGCATTCAAATAGGAAGAATCCAGATTGCATTCAGAGAAAAATTAAAACAGTTGCATAAGCTTGGAGTGAGCGGTTTTGGATTTATGCGGGGAAAGGATCACTCTTCCAACTCACCTCAGTCCAAGCTCCAACCTTATATGGATGATACCAGAGTCTATACTTCTCTATAAATACAAACATTGGCTTTCACACATATCCAGGATGTAAGAGTGAACAAAGATGTTCTGAGTAGTAAGCTTTCTTTGAAAGATGCAGAAAAAGGGTGCCTGACAGCTTGTTCTACCTTGTGAGGTTGTTATGCAGGTACAACAATTTATCATATACGGTAATCGTGTGGAATCAGACCAAAGCCTGGATGCAGTGCTGGTGCAAAAAATATATATTAAATAACAATAATTGTGTGCCCTTAAGTCAATTCTGACTTAGTTACCCTTTTCAGAGTTTTCTACTGTATGTGCAGAGGACACAGAAGTGGTTTGCCATTCCCTTCTTCTGGGGGGCATATTGGGAATATGCCCCACAGCTTGTCCAAGGCCACACTGGCTGGTTCTTCTGGGATACACAGTTGGGAATTGAACTTCCAGCCTCTGGCTCCATAGCCAGATACCTAAATCACTGAGCAATCTAGCCAGCTGTACAGAAAATTAAATCCCCTAAAATTATTAAGTAAGTGTGAGAGTCAGAATAAACATTCACATTAACTTTGCTTGAGAAGTGTTATTAAGTGTGATTCAACTTAGTGAATTTGAGGTGCCTTTGATAGATGCTCAGTCGTGAAGTTAGCAACAAGGCATAAAATGATCAGAAAGCTATAATATGTCTACATTAATCAAATTGTGAAAGAGCATGATTTGAATGGAAGCCAGTAATTTGATTGTATGTATGGTTTTGTATACAATATGTGGTGTTTTTTTGCCACATGCTATACAATTAAATTACCATATTTTCATGCACATGTCTGTGCTACATGTTTTTTTTCAAACCATGGGACCCACCACATGTTATATTCATAGGGGGCAGCATAATCTTTTCAGTGCTTATGGACTCCAAAGGTCTTAATCTGGCCTGGATATATTGTATCTATTTTAAACAAATTTTGGCGGCTCAAATGAACCATGCATAGAACTCTTACATCCTTGGGGAAGGTAGCTTATGACCTCATGTGCACCTGTGCATTTGGCCTCAGATATTCTCACACAGGAGACCCAGTATGCCACAGAAAATTCAGCTGCCTGGAACTCAGAAGAAAAATGTTTCAAAATAAAAGAATGAAAGAAATGCCCGAGGCTCCCCAAGGTCTAAATCCGACACTGCCAATTAGAGAATCACAAATTGTTTTACTCTGGGAATGACAAACTCAGAAGAAATTCTGTGGCTCTGATAATGAGTTGAGATGTGGCACAAATAATTAGGGGCCATAATGAAAAGTCTCTACAGACTGCAGAGTCTCAATAGGATTTTTTCTCTCCCGTAGTCTTCTGTGAATTGGTAAAACGAGTCCTTAAATATGTGCCTCCATATTCATTGTTCATAGTTTTAAATATTGTCTTTTAATGATGTTAACCACTGTTGTATACTCATTGTTTTCAACTTTAAATATTGTCTTTCATTGCTGTAAGCTTCCTTGGATCCTTTACATGGAGAAAGGCAGGGTAAAAATATTTTAAATAATATATTAAACAAACAAACAAACAAGCCCTATTAGGGTCTCTATAAGTATGTTCTCAATTGGTGGCACGGAACACACAGAGATTAAATAAAGCGTGAACCCTCATTAGAAACTAAAATGCCTAAACTGAGGAAATTATATTTTGGGCATATCATTGGGAAGAAAAAGATCTACTGGGAAGAAAACTAATGCTAGGAAGAGAGTAAGATGAGATGAATTGACTCAAACAAAGAAAGCCATGGCCTTTATGGCATAAGGTTTGATCAAGCCTGGTTTTATGAGACCTTTTGAAAATCATTAATTAAATAATTCATAGGGCCAGGCATAAAGTCAGATGCAGCTTGATAGCACCTACCAACAACTGGCAAAAAAAACTCAAGAGTGGATCTGGCCAAACACAATTTAAGGCCCATTAGAAGGCCTATTCTGTGGCAGTGGAGGCAACAAAGAGGTCATTCTTATCTACCACCTATGTGTCTGCACTGGGTCATTTGGCAGAGCTCTTTCAAGTGGTCAAGGGCCTATTCCATCACAGTCTGATGGAAGAGAATGTCTTTTTGGACATTCCTGGCTTATGAAAGCTGCCAGACAGGGACTGGCCGAGCGGGTACGAGGAGTAGCGAATGCCTCCTCACAGCAGGGCAGGGTCCCAGCATGCTTAAAGGAGGCAGAAGTAAGACCATCATTGAAAAAACCTCCTTGGATGTCATGGTATCAGACAATCACCACCCATTCTCTAATGCCCCATTCTTGGGCAAGGTGGTAGAGCAAGTCGTGGCTTCTGAGCTCCAGGGGTTCCTGGATGAGACTGATTACCTAGATCCATTTCAATCTGGCTTCAGGCCTGGTTATGTGATGGATACTGCTTTGTTTGCTGGATGGACATCCAATGCCAGGAACTGGACAGGAGTGTGTCCTTGTTGGTTCTGCTGGGCCTCTCAGAGGTTTTCGATACCAGCAACCGTGGTATCCTTCTGGACCATCTCTCTGGGATGGGACTTGGAGGCACTGTTCTATAGTGCTCTGGTCCTTCCTGGAGGAGAGAACCCAGAGGGTGGTGCTGGAGGACTCTTGTTTGACACCCTAGCCACTGGCCTGTGGTGTCCCCCAGGGTTCTGTTTTGTCCCCTATGCTATTTAACATCCACATGATGTTTACTGGGAGAGGTCGTCCAGAGTTTTGGGGTTTGGTGTCACTAGTTTGCTGATGACACCCAGCAAAATCTCTCCTTCCCATCTAAATCTGAGGAAGCTGTTTTAGATCTAGATCAATGTCTGGTGCCAGTAACAAATTGGATGAAATTTAATCCAGACAAGACAAAGGTGCTCTTGTTCAGCCAAAAGGTAGAAAAGGGATTCAGCCTGTACTGATGCGGTTATACTTTCTCTAAAAACACAGTTGTGCAGCTTGGGGGTGCTCTTTGATTCTTCTCAGAGCTTGGAGGCCCAGGTTTCAACAGTGGCCAGGAGTATCTTTGCACAGTTAAAACTAGCATGACAGCTGCACCCATTCCTGGAGAGGTCTAATCTGGCCATGGCCACACATGTATTAGTTACATCTCGGCTGGATTACTGCAACACACTCTATGTGGAGCTGCTCTTGGAAAGTGTTCAGAAACTCCAGAGGGTTCAAATTCCTGCAGCCAGATTGCTAACTGGGGCTAGTTACAGGAAACATATAACTCCCCCATTACAGTAGCCCACTGGCCACTCATCTGTTTCTGGGCACAATTCAAATTGCTGGTTCAAACCTGTAAAACCCTAAAAAGCTTGCATCAAAGCTATCTAAGAGACCATGTCTCCCTTTATGAGCCTGCCTGGGTATTGAAATCAAGAGTAGCCATTGATTTTGATAAGAACTAGAGCTGCTTCTGGTGTGTGAAACACAGCTGAGAGGAAGGAATTCTCTAAACAGACTCCAATCTCAATCTAAAAGGAATTCTGAAGTGGGCAGATGACTGTGGCAACCAACCTTCATTGTGGTGAAGTTCCTGATTCGGTCAAATTCAAAGATGATCTCCACATATCCATTGATGGTGCTCTCATTGCTCCAGCCAATATAGTCATAACCAGGCCATACATGGTATTCATGTGTTTGACTGAAATCATCCAGGCCAGAAACCCCATCTGTCAACTGACCTAGTCCTTCTGTCATGCTGGTAGTGAACAAAAAAGAGAAAAACAAAAAGACATTCTGAGATTTAAAATTTTCCCTCAAATTTCACCAATAACTCCTGACCTAAACTGACAAAAACAGCTGGACTGATCCAATGGATATAGAATATGAGATTTAAGGACTTAAATGAAAAATCCAGTTTAGCCAAAATCAGAGCAAACTCTTCCAATCAGTCAACTCCTCACATCGTGCAACTGACAGGCGTTAAAGGCTTCCGATAGGGATGTGGTGGCGCTGCGGGTTAAACCGCAGAAGCCTCTGTGCTGCAAGGTCAGACAACCAGCAGTTGTAAGAGTGAATCCACGCGACGGAGTGAGCTCCCGTCACTTGTCCCAGCTCCTTCCAACCTAGCAGTTCAAAAGCATGTAAAAATGCGAGTAGATAAATAGGTACCATCTTGGTGGGAAGGTAACAGTGATCCGTGTCTAGTCACGCTGGCCACGAGACCATGGAAATTGTCCTTGGACAAATACTGGCTCTATGGCTTGGAAATGGGGATGAGCACCGTGCCCTAGAGTTGGACAAAACTAGACTAAATGTCAAGGGAACCTTTACCTTTATCTAAAGGCTTCCATGCATGTGCTAGATTTGGCCAAATTTTGCTTCCTGTGGCAGTTCACCACATCCTATAAAAGTGGGATTCCTCCACCCGATGTGTAGTTTTTCTTTTCCTTTTCTGTGAGACACAGGAGACTGCCACATAGAGGAGCGTCCCTCAAGGAAATGAGCCTCGTGGCGCAATGGTTAAATCGCTGTACTGCAGCCAAAACTGTGCTCACGACACAACTAGACTAAATGTCAAGGGAACCTTTACCTTTATCTAAAGGCTTCCATGCATGTGCTAGATTTGGCCAAATTTTGCTTCCTGTGGCAGTTCACCACATCCTATAAAAGTGGGATTCCTCCACCCGATGTGTAGTTTTTCTTTTCCTTTTCTGTGAGACACAGGAGACTGCCACATAGAGGAGTGTCCCTCAAGGTTTGTTTTCACCTACAGGAACAACCTTCTTATTCTCTGAAAATGAGCCACAATGCTTTTGCTATGCCATTTTCATGTGACAATTTGTTTTGTAAAATAGTCCTCATAGGAAAAAAAATACAGATTACTGTAGATATTTCTAGAACATTCAAATGGTCTCTCCTGCAATAATATGAGAATGTGTTCATGTGAGAACTATTTCATTTGTTTCACTACAGCATGTGCTACAGAATACTGTTGTCGTTGCTTACCTCTTCTAAGTTTTAAAATGTTTTAAGATATTTTTACAGAAAAATAATGGCCAGAATTGTATTAGTGTTTGTCTGAGTTTTGTCATATCTAACTGATGATGTGCCAGGTGCATCACAGAATTATATAATAATGGAGTTGAAAGGGATCCTAAGGCCAATGACTCCAATCCCTGCTCAATGTAGGAATTCAAATGCAACTACGTATATCCAACAGATGGCAGTATATCCTTGTCCTGAATGCCTCCAGTGTTTGAGTGCTCACCATCCCTTGAGGTAATTCATTTCCTTGTCATACTACTCTGAAAGTTAGGAGGTTTTCCTGATATTAAACCAAAATCTGCCTTCCTGTAACTTAACACCCCTCAGTCTTCTCTTCTCAAGGGTAAAAATGCCCATATTCTTTAAACCTTTCCTTCTGGGGCTTGGTCCCCTGATCATCCTGGTAGCCCTCCTCTGAACTTATTTTAGTTCATATGCATCCTTCTTAAAATGTGGTGTCCAGAACTGGACAAAGACTCAAGGTAGGGCCTAATCAGTGCCTTCTTGCTTTCTTCTATTTGTACACGAGCCCTTTGCTTTGCCTTGTCCACTTTGAAGGATATTGAGAAAGTTCTCTAATACTGTATATGGCAATATACAGAAACCAAAATTTCCTGTGCCCTGTCCCAAACTCCTATTAGCACTCCCTGGTTGTTCACTCTGGTTACTCACTCTCTGGGATTTGTCTCACTTTTATTCTTTTGCTGTGCTCTCTGTTAGGAGTCAGCAAACATAATAATATAAGAAGAGCCCTGCTGGATCAGACCAAGGACCCATCTAGTCCAGCTCCCTGTATCTCACAGTGGCCCCCACCAGATGCCTCTGGGAGCACATGAGACAACAAGATCCCTGTCTCCTGATACCCCTCCCCTGCACCTGGCATTTTAAGCCGGGAGGGTATACATCCCCATCATGGCTTGTAACCTTCGATGGACTTTTTCTCCAGAAATCTGTCCAACTCCCTTTTAAAAGGCATCTAGGCCAGATGACATCATCATATCCTGTGGCAAGGGGTTCCATAGACTAACAACATGCTGGGTAAAGAAATATTTTCTTTTGTCTGTTCTCACTCCCCCAACACTCCATTGAAGTGGATGTCCCCTGGTTCTAGTATTGCGTGAGAGGGAAAAGAGCTTCCCTCTATCCACTTTATCCACCCCTGCATAATTTTATACGTTTTTGTGAGGTGTGGCAATCAGAACTGTGCACAGTACTCCAGGTGTGGCCTTACCATAGTTTTGTACAATGGCATTATAATGTTGGCTGTTTTATTTTCATTCCCCTTTTTAATGATACCTAGCATGGGATTGGCCTTCTTTACTGCCACTGGGTTGACACTTTCATCAAGCTGTCCACCAGCACACCAAGATCTCTTTCCTGATCCGTCACGGACAGCTCAGAACCCATCAGCTGATAAAGTTTTGATATTTTTTTTGCCCCAAGGTGCATTACTTTACATTTTCTTATATTGAAATCCATTTGCCATTTTGCCGCCCATTCTCCCAGTTTGGAGAATTTCTTCTGGAGCTCTTCACAATCCCTTCTGGTCTTCACCACCCAGAAAAGTTTTGTGTCATCTGCAAACTTCGCCACCTCACTGTTTATCCCTGTCCCCAGGTGAATTATGAACAGATTGAAAAGCACTGGTCCCAGGACAGATCGCTTGAGGCACACCGTCTCCAGGTCACTTATGAACAGATTGAAAAGCACTGGTCCCAGGACAGATCCCTTGAGGCACACCGCTTCTCACCATAAGAGTAGTTATCAGGATATGCCCCTTCCTCTCAAGCTGAGCACGCAGTGCTCCTGAACAGGCTACTCCCTGAGGTTACTCCAGGTCACTTCCTGGTATTCATGTAGTAGGTCATTCACCTTGCCTTTGTCTTTTCGTTTTCTCTTTTCTTTCGTCTCTTCTTCCACTAGACCCTTTCCTTATTACCCTTCTTCAACCCGTCTCACTGTCACTGCTCTGCTGTGCCCTGTTAAAAGTCAGCAAACAGAATCTTGGTTGCGCAGTTGGGCTCATGACCAAACACACAACCAATTACCACCTCTGCACATCAATTAACCAAAATTAGCCTTAGGAACTTATGCAAACATTTCACAAACATCTATTAGATTCTGGCCAATATACTATAAATACCACATAAGGACTTTATCACATAAAATGAGAATTACTCTGTTTCTCTAGTTAAACTATGTGTGATTGTGTGTCTCTTTGTGTGTTTGCATCTGGCTTGCATCTGTATCATGGCAGCCATTCACAACCTTCTTTTTTAACCACAGCCATAAACACAACATGAAATAAATAAAGGCTGAATCAGGATTGTATAAGTCACATAACAAACCTTGTAAGGTGGTATGTGCAGAATTGTTTCCAGTTTATGACCTGCTTTAAAAATGCTGGGGCCCCTGGGTGGGGGTCATATGGCCCCTGTTGAAAATGACTGTCTTATGGTAAAGAAAAACATGTGGTCGATAGACATTCTCTAGATGTACAATGCAGTCCTTGGTATGCCTCGTGAGGAGTAAGTTAAACTGAGTTCATTGGCTCCTATTCCAAAGAAAGTGGATATGAAAGTGTAGTCTTCATCTCATTTTATTAACAATAGATTTCTGAGAGTTATCTGAAGGATTACAAGTCATTCATAGAGAACAACCCAAATCTTCTTGCTTAGTTCTGTTGGCATAATACAAATGAATTATCTTTTGGAGACAAATTGCCTTAAGTTAAGAAATTACCATAGACATTAACCCCTGAACATTACATTGTGTGACTCAGTATGCAACTGTTACACACATAGTACGGGGAGAACCTACCTGTGACCATCATAGATTGAATCGTTCAGGTAAACAATGGTGCCACCAGGCAGAACCAGCTGTTGCCCTGGTGGAGCGCTGTATGACACCAGCCCATCTGAAAAGGGAGGAACAGGGGTTATTCTTGCTCTGCTGCTGCTTCTACTGCCCATGGAAATATTACTGTACTAGTAGATAATTTTACTCATTCTACTTGTGGATTATTCCATCCTCAGAAGACAGCTAGTGTAGCAGCGTGGCTCCCGAAACTCCCCTGATGTCTATATTGAAGCTATAGATCTCCTGGTGCCTTTCCTATTCTGTTAGGGGTAGAAGCAGCTCTTCCTTCCTCTTTGGATCAGGCAGCAGCATAGGCTGCCATTTCCCTCTATTTAAACTCTTCTCCCAAATTGCTTCTAGCCATGGAGAAGGAAAGATGACGTGCTGCCTCTGCCTCCCCCCGCCCCCTTCTCTATGGCAAATAGCAGCTTCTTCGGGGGGGGGGGATTTAAATTGGAGAACTGTGACAAACATACAGGGTTTAAAAAAAACAAACTCCCGAACACTGCACCGCTCCTGTTCTATCCTTCCTGCCAGCCCCTTTGCTTTTATACAAAGCAAAAGACATTTAGATATCCTACCCCAGATTCCCCATGGCATTGCTAGCTTGAGCATGAGGATCTCATGTTACGTGTTCTCTCTGTACTACCTGACAGTGCATTAAAAAACCTACTTAGCTGACAGCATATTCCTTTGCAAGGGTGATAGCATCTAATACAGCTGTCTTTATCCTTTTCAATTGTATAGCATTACTCACTTTTCAAAGTGCATAGAAATGCTATATATCTGAAAATGATAATGATATCACCCTTGCAAAGGAATACACTGTCCATTGACTGTTCCATTGGCTTCATCTTCCTCTCTCTAATTTCCCCCTTCATGGCCACTAAAAAGTTATTTTTCTGATTTGCCTATAATGCCACAGTCTCCTCAAGATCTTTCTACATACTTATATCATTTTAGCTCAATTTCCTCTCTTTAGTTCATTCGAGAATAAATGCAGTTACTCAGGCAACAAAACCACCCACAACCCAGGGGAGAGAATTATGGACACCGATAGAGCTTTTTCTCCAAGTTTGTGTTTTAGCAAATTCAACATCAAGTTTCAGGGCTGATTGCTAATCTAAGAAAAACCTGGCAAGTAATTTTTAAATGCAGGGACAGGGATAGATCTATTGAAAGGAAACACCTGAGAAGCATCTGATGCAGATAATCTGCACATATGTCAGCATCACAGTGCTTTCCACTGTCAGTTTCCCATATCATGCAGTGGCTTAAGAAGGCCACCATTTTAGGATACTGGCAAATTAAGCTCTCCATGGAGGGACAGAGGAAGTTTTTTTTTTAAAAAAAAACCACTGTGTTTAGGACAGTGTTGATATGCTGCATCATTTATTTATTTTAGTGAAAAAAAATTGAAAACTTCCTCCCAGAAGTACTGGCTGGCAGTAGGTTTAGCTGCAGGCTGGTTCTTGACCCAAACTAAAAAAAAAATCACCAAGAAAAGAAAAATAATTCCCCTCATTGATCCTTTCACCAATTTCCAGGAGGTAGTTTTCAATTTTAAAAAATGTAAGTGATGCAGCACATCAGTGTCTGTCGGTCTGTCTGTCTATCTTTGTGATCTCCCCATTAGTGTGAAGCACTACTCTAGGCAGTTTACAATGATAATTACAACACACAGTACTAAATAGCAAAAATTAAGACATTAATAAAATTAAAAAATGACACCAAAAAGAATTATCTAAATGATGACAGAAGACGGAGCAGAAGATTGAAATCAAATAAAGTTGGTGTTGAAAGCCTCCCTGAACAGCAACATTTTATGTTGTCTTCTGAATGTTAGCAAGGAGGGGACCAAGTGTAGCTCCGCTGGGAGTTGGTTCCACAACCTTGGAGCCACCATCAAGACCTGTTGTCCTGTGGAGGACTTCCAGGTCTCCCTCTGGGTGGCCACCTGGAGGAGTTAGTCTGAGAAGCTCTGGTGGGTTGAGCAGATGACATTGAGGAAAGGCCCTTCGACAAGTAACGTGGTCCCAAACCATAGAGGGCTTTATACATGAACATCAAAACCTTGAACCTGATCCTAGACACAACAGGCAAACAGTGGAGATGAGCCAGAACAGCTGTCAAACCTACAGTTCAACCCAAAGGTAAATGATTCCCATGGGGGGGGGGGGAATTCACCAAAAATTAACGAAGACTCAGAACAAAGCCAAATTAAGTTTGCAAAGGTTTTACAGGGTGCAATAACGATTCCAAGCATTTTAAACAGTTTTTGAACATTTTAAGACACTTTTAAAATAGCGAAAACGGACATCGCTAAGCAAAACAGGGGGACCTAAACTGTCATCGCTAAGTGAAGCAAGGTCCCAAACATCGCTATGCGAAATTTCCCCATTGGAAACATCGCTAAATGGAGCGCAGGATCGCTCCAAAAACCTCATCGCTAAGCGAATACATCGTTAAATGAGGCAATCGCTAAGCGAGGCACCACTGTATTTGAATCAGCCTCAAGGGAAGTCCCATGTAGAGAGAAATGCAGTAGATGATCTGGGAAATGTAAGTTTTTAAACTTTTTAAAACCTTTTTTTAAACTTCCTCTGCCCCTCCACCAGTTACGGATTAATCGGTTTTCAATGCATTGTAGGTCAATGGAGCCTCGACCTACAGACTTTTCGACTTGCAGCCACTGTTCCAATACGGATTAATTCCGTAAGTAGAAGGTCCACTGTAATCCATATTGGAATTGTGGGTGCAGGTTGAAAAGTCTGTAGGTCGAGGCTCCATTGACCTACAATGCATTGAAAACCGATTAATCCGTAACTGGCCATTTTTGTTCCATTTTGGTTTTTTTTCCTGGTCTGTAGGTCGATTCTCCGGCTGCAAATCAAACCTAAATTTTGCAGCCAGAGAAATCTGTAACTCGAAAAGTCTGTATGTGGAGCCATCTGTAAGTCGAGTGTCCACTGTATGGAAAACTGACAGCAGCAGAAGCCAGACCAAATATGGTCACTTGAGGTGAGCATGCCATTTCTATGTAGGGATCCCTTCAAATGGCATGCTGGACCTCTACTCACCCCTAAGGCAACCTCATTCAATCTGTGCCAGCTCACTCCAAATACGCCTGTGTAGACAAGCCCTGAGACAGTGGAAAGGTGATCTCAGTGAGGTCACAAGGAGTAGAAAGAAGAGGAGGGAGGAAACAACTGTTGCCCTTTGCCCTAAAACCACGAAAAGCAAGCAGTCCCACCTCACTTGTTGTTCATGCTATTGGAGCTTGGGCAAGCCCTGCCATATTGCTCACCAGAACTATGGTGAGCAATATGTTCCTTGTCCAGGGAAGCAGCCAGGCACCCAAAGTCATTCCTGTCCCAAAACTCATCAGTGTTAAACATAGTTGGCTTCTGTGTCAGATTGGCTGTACTTTGCCACCCTCTACCCACCTAAAACCTACATTTTGGACAGGACTAGATGCCCTGAGGAAGCTTCTGGGACAGCCATAATGTTGCCTGTCCTCAACATTGGTTAGTTTGAAGGGACGGATGCTGTGCTTACCCAGCCAGACACAGCCGTAGAGCTCCACCCTGAGGCAGACATTTGTGGAGTGATCAGTCACAGGGATAAAGCGAATGAATCGACCAATGATTGGTGGCTCTAGATCTTTCAGGACAATGTCATATGGGTTCGTGTTTCCATCAATCACCTAGGATGGGAAAAGGATATGCAGTGAGGAAGAAAATGGCTGCTGGGCAAGACAAAGGCAGAGAGGAGATACACCCATACTCACTGGATGAGAGTGAAATGAAAACAAAGCAAAGCAAAGTGTGCTGCTTATATACCTCCCCATAGCGCTTCAAGCACTCTCTGGGCAGTTTCCAAGTTAATTATGCAGGCTACACATTGCCCCCCCCCGCAAGCTGGGTACTCATTTTACCGACCTCGGAAGGATATAAGGCTGACTCAACCTTGAGCCGGCTACCTGGGATTGAACCCCAGGTCGTGAGCACAGTTTTGGCTGCAAAAAAGCGGTTTAACCACTACGCCACGAGCACTTCCATTGTTCTGATGGTGTTCTCTCGCTGCTCAGCATAAGAGACTTTTCCATGTAAATCTTTACAGTTTTGCTATAAAGTTAATCTAAGTTCCAAAGTGATTGCAAATTATTTTCATGACTTCTCTCACTTAATACTGAGGATTTAAAATTTGATTGAATTCTTTTTTCTTTGACCTGCTTATAACTGAGTGCCAAACTACACCTTTTGATAACTAGAAGATCTATGATTAATTTCCTGGAGTGTGTTTCTGGTTTTGTTTTACTAATTCCAGCTGTATAGGAGCAGATCTCTCCCTCTGACCAACAGAGGAGCAGATGTGCTAGAGATACTGAACAATATCTCACTACCTCACCATCCCAGCTCCAAATTACCATTTGCTCATGGCTGTAGCTTTCCCCTTATTGACCAAATAACAGCTGGGAGGTTATGGAAGAATTACCCGTATTTTTCGCTCCATAAGACGCACAGACTTTCCACACCCCTGTTTTGTGGGAAAAAAGTGAGTCTTATGGTGCAAAAAATACAGTATATGGTGAATGTGGAATCCCCCATGAATTCCACTTCCCCAGTGAAATTAATAGCCCTCCTGCAGTTCAATTTAGTCATTGCTTTTAAAATGATTGCAAATGTCCTGACATAAAATGTACTTGGCTCTCACTTAAGGCAGCAAACTTACATTTCCTGACAAGATAGCAGATTTACATGATAGAATTTCCTTGCATGCCAATCCTTTTTATATTGGAAGACAGCATGTCAGGGGGAAAGTGAGGCTACAGCTCTTCTTCCTGGTATATTTTTGTAGGAGTGTTGATTGCAACCTCTCACGCTGTCTGTGATTTGAGTGATTGGAAGAGATTCTGGGGGGCTGCAGCAATTGTCTGTCTATATAGCACTACTCAATCATTCCTTTGGCCTTTGATTTAAAAGGGAGACATGCCTCTCTGCTGAGTGGTCTTTCCCTCTTTTTCCTCAATTGTTTGTTTGCTGTTGATCAGTTCAGTTAGTTGCTCCGTATATGTGCAGTAAAAAAAGCAGCATACATGGTATGTAACTTCAAGTAACTGTAAGTAAAGGAATGTTTTTATTCTTTCTCCCGCAAATGTCTAAGAGTGAGTTATTGAGATTTTAAGTTAATGAGAAAGAGTTTGACTCTGGTGAACTTGTAGCTATTCTTTTCTGTGGTTCTCTGTTACAGCAAAAAACTGTAAGTAAAGGAATGTTTTTATTCTTTCTCCCGCAAATGTCTAAGAGTGAGTTATTGAGATTTTAAGTACCATTTAATGAGAAAGAGTTCGACTCTGGTGAACTTGTAGCTGTTCTTTTTTGTGGTTTTCTGTACTTCTACAGCAAAAAGGAATTTTACCAGAGATTCAAAACATTGCAACAGTTTCCCATGTGTGGAGATGTGTTTGTTTGTCTGTTTACATAAGTGCTTAGTTATACAATCCCTATCATTTGAAATGTATCAGTCAGACACAGGTGTTCCTCCTTATTTCAATATAGGCTCTTGACTGTTTGGAGCAGTGATCCCCAACCTTGGGCCTCCAGATGTTCGTGGACTTCAACTCCCAGAAATCCTGGCCAGCCGAGGTGGTGGTGAAGGCTTCCGGGAGTTGTAGTCCAAGAACATCTGGAGGCCCAAGGTTGGGGACCACTGGTTTAGAGAACCAGATCTCAGTTGGGGAGCAAAGACAGCTTAGCGGGCATGGAGCTGATTTAAATTTGAAGAATAAACATGCCACCAACAGGGAATTGAGAGAAAGGAACAAACAATTCAAGGCAAGTGCAACTTGAACAGGCAATTCATAAAAAGTAGTCAGGGTATGTGGAAGATACAGAACAGACTAAGTTAGAGCTGTAATACACCATCTCTTGTCCTCTTATGTTTCCCCTCCACAAATAATAAGCACACATTGGCCAGCAGTTTCTTTTGCTGTAGACATCCCACCAAAACCTCTGGGCATTGCACAACCAAGGGCCAAGCCAACACAGAACAATGTCCCACTTCAAAACCATTTAGTATTTCTGCAAATGACAGCCCCATTTTTCAGGTTTAAATATCAATGCAAAAACTTGAGGCTCAGGGTATAACTTCGAGGCTCTGTATTTCCAATTCAGAAGTCTACAATGTTTGTTTGTTCATTTGTTTCTTCACTCTGGCCACAGCCTCTGCCCTTTCTGAGGCCATATTTCCAGGTTCTTCGCAATGCATTCTGGAAAAAGTCAGAAAGCAACCCACCATACAAAAGTCTGTGCAGAATGAATCTGTTACTTAGCACAGATGCCTTCATTGTTAACAACAACAAATAGCAACACCACCGTGTGTCTTCCCCATCAACATCACCTCCCTCCCTCTCATCCTCCGGGCTGCCTTACCTGCTTCCCATGTCTGTTCCGCCAAGTGATCCAGCGGGTGCCATCCCGGCTGTAATTAATCTTGTACATTGGAGCAAACTCATTGCCGTGACCTCCTGCATGGCGACCCTGGGTTCCTACCAGGGTGATGAAGTGCAAAGCATGTAAATCGATCTCTAGGAACTCTTTGAGGTCATCTGGTTCTACAGGGATCTCAGGGCACCAAGCACCATCCCCATCTTCTGAACCCAGCCTGTAGAAATGCAGAGACCAAGTTTGTCTGATGCAGCCCATCGGTAAAGAGTTGCAGCCAGCTTCCTCCATTGCCTCCATCTCCCAAGCTTTATATGCAGCAGGTTGTCCTCATATTCATTCCCTTGTAGGAACAGGCTCCAGCATCTTCTCCTCTTATGACATTTTTCAGGCCATCCCACACGCTGCCCCGATTTCCCTCTGCACCCCCAATTCCCAGCTCTCTTTCTCCACCTATGTTCCTAGTGCCAACCGCTATTGACCACCACATCTTTTCTACCCTGGTGAATACATGGCACAGTTAGATCTGAAGGAGCAAGGCAGCCCTTGCCCAGTAGAATGGAGGATGACAACATGACAAAGCATGACAAAGGAATAGGTTGTGAACTGGCTATGAGAGACCAACAGACCCCATATTTTGCAAAGGATGTGGCATATATTTTCCCTCCTGCCTCACAACAGAGAACCCAGAACTGGCCAAATGAAATCAAACAGCAGTAGATGCAAGAAGACAAAAATTTCCACATTAAAAAAAGAAGTTCAAATCTCCTCCCACAAGATCAGGTGGCGGCCATTAGCTCAAATAGCCTAAACGTGGATTACACAGATTCACGATAATAGGCCAACATAAGAACATAAACATAAGAACATAAGAAGAGCCCTGCTGGATCAGGCCAAGGGCCCATCTAGTCCAGCTCCCTGTATCTCACAGTGGCCCCTACCAGATGCCTCTGGGAGCACACGAAATCACTGGATATCTGTCTCCTGATACCCCTCCCCTGCACCTGGCATTTTGAGGTACCTTCCTTTTAAGCCTGGAGATTATACATCCTTGTCATGGCTTCTAACCTGTGATGGACTTTTCCTCCAGAAATCTGCCCAATCCCCTTCTAAAGGCATCTAGGTCAGATGCCATCACTATATCCTGTGCCAAGGAGTTCCACAGACTAACAACATGCTGGGTAAAGAAATATTTTCTTTTATCTGCTCTCACTCTCCCAACACTCAATATCTTGTCTGCTCTCACTCTCCCAACACTCAATATTAGTAGTTATTGACCACAAGAGCTCAAGAACGCTGGCATTTAGGATCCAGGCAATTCTGAATACCAGATCTGGTAAACAAGCAACAGGAATGACCTGCCTATAAGCTTCTAGCTGGTGTGTGATTTGCCACTGTTGGAGATGGAATGCTGGAATAGATACATTCCTAGTTTGTTCTACTCTTACAGCATTTAGTACAAGTTGAGCAACAACTGAAAGAAGCACTGGAGAAGGCCCATAACAGAAGATGCCATGTCCTAAGGCTGATTAGTAGTGTACGCTCTGCGCTGTATCTCCTAGTCCTAGAGATACAGGGAACAGTTATAGTAACAACCTGGGTTTAGTTCGTGAGGCAGTTCGCTGGAACCTACACATACCTGTCACAGAACATTACTGCTGGAGCAACTGGTGCTCTTTTGAGATGGCATCATGAAGTAATGGAAGTGGCAGAACCCATGCTACTCAAGTCCAGTGAAGTTGTTGATGTCATGACCCATACTCACATTGGACATTGCAAGAACTAAGTTAAAAAGGCCAGTATCTTCTCCATCATCCAGTGTCCCCATCTAGTGGCATACAGCGAGCCATCTTATAAGGCATCACAAGTTACAACAGTTATAAGGGAAGGAGCTGCTAAACGATCCTAATTGAGATACATCAACTGAGGAACTCTCCTGGAGATCCTTATAAGGTGTCAGAGGGGACTCTGTAACTCATTGTGTTGCAGTCAAGAGCTTGGACACGTTGGAGACAGTGTGTGCCAAGACAGCAATAACAGCACTGAAAGCTGGCAGGAACAAAAAAGGTGTACAAAGGGAATGCCTACTCCCAATGAGTAACTATTTCTCTCCCAAATAGGATTCCTGATGAAATCAGCAACTAGACTTGCAAATTCAGCTCATGTGTACCATTTAGTGGTACACTATAAAACAATAAAAGTATAGTAAATGTAAGACATGCATTTGTAGGAGAAAAATGACACAATGGGACTTGAGGCACACCTTTTCTAAAAACATGTTAAATGTTTTGATGCCACCAGATTCACTTGAACAGGGTCTGAGCCTTGGCCTAGATATATCACCCTCTGGTGTCCGCTGTGGACAGACAAAACACGCTTGCTTTCTTGGCCACTAAATCCTTTCCAGTCACACAGTGGTGGAGAGTTCTAAGCCCGGGGAGAAAACAAAAGTCAAGTTGAGCAAGATGATTTATTTCCCATTAAATGAGGAGCAGAGTTAAGGGAGAGTGGGGGAGGAGGGGATAAGTATCTGCACCTCTTGGGAACCCTCGGGCCCTCGAGGCCTGCCTGCTTGGTGAGAACACCCTGGGTGCCTTTTCCTCTTACCGTCCGTACTTGGCTGCGGTGGATTCGGACCACTGACTGGAAGCAGAAATGTCCTCGTCAGGAATGTGCCCACCTGACATGCCTAGTGGGTAGCGGCAGACAGCTACAGAGAAAGAGAGAAGAGAAACATATATACTGTACCTCCTGTCATACCCACAGTTGGTTTCTTTGGAAATTATTTTTCATTTCTATCACACTATTTCTAATCACAGCTTTAAAATCAAGGAGTCTAGCCAGATGGCTTTTCTCTGATGGTATCAAATACTGTAAGCTGCAAATAAAAAATATTTTCCCCCATACATCTTCTGTATTGTTGTTAGCTTTTCTGGATTTGTATGTAGTTAAACTGCCTTGGGTCCTTTTAAGGAGAAAGACAGGGTGAAAGTATTTAAAATTAATTAAATGAATAAATTTCAACCATATCACATATACTTTATTCAGGGGTAAGAGCAGGATGCTCTAAACAAAGTGGAAAATATATGGTATAGATTATATATAATCCGGGGGGCCCGCAATGTCCTCACAGGGGATCCGTGAAAGCTTGAAGAAATGTTATGATCTTTTGCAGTTAAGGGAAGGGGAGAAAGAGAGAGAGAGGAAAGGAAATGTAGAACAAAATCTTTATTTCCCTTGCTTGTTTGTATAAAAGTAGGCTTTTCTAACCTACCACCTCCAGTAAAAAGAAACAAAAGTAAAAAATTGGTTATGAAAATAACTGTTTGATAGCAAATAACTGTTTCATATTTCTACACACGATGAGAACATGCACGTGAGTGAGGCTGAGTAAAGTGACTTTTTGATATTATTACAGTGAATTTCTTAATAAAAGATTTTGACTGAGCCTCAGAACGATCACTGGCTGGAATACCTGTTGACTGGCTTCACGTGTACAGGTCCTGAAGACAAGCAACCACCAGTGTGTTGTGTCATGAGATATTGTATAAGAAGGCCATGAAACCATCAAAATTGTCAAGACATCTCAATACTAAACATAAAGAACATGTCACAAAGAGCATAGCTTTTAAAGTAAGGAGCATGAGCTTCAAGAAAGTTTTGAAAATGGTTTTAAACAAGACTGCAACTGGTTATAACAATGAAAACGCAGTGAGGGCCTCATTTGAAGTTTCTCAACCGATAGCAAAAAACTGATAACCGCACACAGTAGCTGAAGAAGTTCTATTACCTGCTGCAAAAATCATGGCTTCTGCATTGATCAACGAGAAAGCTGCCAAGGACCTTTCCTTATTACCTTTGCTGAATGACACAGTAAGAAGCAAATCAACGGTTTCTCAGCCAATATCAAGGAACAATTATTAGAAAGACTTCACATGTCTTTACACTGCAATTGGACAAAAGCATAACAAGGCAACCTTACTGTGCTATGTTAGATGTCAGCACGAGAGAAATGTTTTGGAAGACATACTGTTCATCTCCTCATTGGCACACACTGCAGCTGAAGTATTTAACAGCTTAAAGGGATTTATCGCATCTCATGACATGGATTGGTTGAAATATGTTGGAACTATCAAAGGGATATGAAAGTATTGCCCTTTTGTAAAGACAAACTTGTGCGAAAAATTATCCTCTTCTCTCATTTGTCTTAAAAAATAAGTATAGAAACTGTTTGAAAAAATGTAGACTCAGAACTCTGAATACAAGTCTGAGCTATTACTGTAAGTCCAATATAACAAGAGTTGTAAGTGAAATGCAGCACCGGCCTTCTCATTAATTATAACTGCATTAATATAATATGTTTCTTTTTTATCCCACCCAACTTGGGTTTAATTAGGTACAATTTTGTAGGAATTATATTTATTTCATTTTCTAACTTTCATTTTCATGTGACATTTTTCATAGGTGTGTCATATTAATGATTTTATGTGCTTGTAATTTCACTTTCTCTAGCAAGAATTAAAGACTACTACTACTACTACTACTACTACTACTACTACTACTACTATTATTATTATTATTATAAATAATCAGGCATAGTCAAAATTATAAAAACATTGACTGGTATTATATAATAGAAAACAAGTTTTAACCAACAACCTAAGTATCTGTTAAATATCGGCGCAGTATATATGCTGTTCCTGTTTTTGCAGCTCTGATGGTGTGATTTCTGAGATCTGCAACTGCTTATAGTACTGGGTGAAGTTTCTTGAAAGCAACAACAACAAGAACAAGAACAACAACAATAATCATTACAGTACAAATATTATAAGAGGAATGTGTGCATTAACGGATTCATTTATTTCTCCCTTCTCTCCAAATTTGAAGACCCTTCATGAGATATGTTAAATCAATATTTGATGCACTTTTAAGATTTTATATCTTGAATTAAGTCTTGGTGGTCCATAGCAATAAAAGGGGGGGGTCTGTGGTAAGGAAAAGGTTAAGAACTGGTGGTATAGATAATATATAAAAGGCAATTAAAGTGCATCCCTGAGATGCAGAGTAAGCAAGGTTTTGCAACTCAAAGGACATACCATCAAATCTGTCTTTATGTTTACCAGAGACCAAAAGTAACCAGGCTTGAGTTAGTTACCATACTTGTTACAATTTCCTTTTCCCAACAACAAATGTAACACAATTGTAATTTAACAACAAATCATTTTTCTTCTCTTGCAACAGACTACTGTTTTTACTACTCCTATGGATACAGAGATGTGGACTCACACTACAGATGTGCAAAATGACATTTTCACATTTCTTTATAATTCTTTCAGGAACGTCTCTTCCATTTTTGTATCTATTTACTGATCCTTTTGTTTTACCCTAAAGGGAACGCTTCTTTTATATCATTCCATTTTGGATTTTCCTTTTTTCTGGCATGTCAAAGGCTTTAAACCCCCCCATCCCTTAAAATCCCTTGAAAACTACTCCAAAAAATTAGAGGCAAGGGAACAATAAATCAGTCTAGTTCAAAAGGAGGGAATAGTACACGAGGAGGCAAAAAAATCATTCAACCTATTCGGGCACAAGTTTATATAATGAGATTCACACAGACCAGTGCTACACTGGCACAGTTCCAAAAGGGTCACCCAAATATATAGCTCTATACAGAATAAATACACATTAAATTAAACAAACAACCATTTTGAAAAATCAGTCAATGGGGGAAAGCACTTCTCCATACACTCAAAAGGGAGGGGGGATAGGGAGGAAAATCCCACGTAGTTTGTTTCACCCAACCCAGAGTTCACAAAGGTATCCCAACATGCCTCTTGACACGCTGCCACCAGTTGATCTCTTTATCAACTTATATTTCTTTATGAAAGACTGTTCATTCAGTGCTGACTTTTTAACAGAAACAGGTTTATGATTATATGTGGTTTCAGGAATAATTCTTAAGCACCATAGTCTCTCAAGACTGAAGGATGCTAAGAATCTAAGAAGAATCTTAAGCACATTCTTAAAGTTTCACAAAGCTTCAATATTTATCTTTAATCTCTTCTATATTAATTAACCCAGGTCACATTCTGATTAATCACTGCCTAATCATTCCTTAAACACTCTCTGCCTCAAACCCCCAAACTATCCTCTTCTCTAGCTCTCTCTAACTCCCCCTCAACTTCTCTCCCAGGCTCCGCCTCTCTGCACCTCTCTTGGTCCCGCCGCACAACCATATTAACATATAACTTATGAATAATGCATAACTTATAATACATAACTTAGGCTGGACGCCACACCCCCATACTCTCAAAAAAACAAGAAAAGCAAACACTCCAATAAAGGTTAAAAATACATTCAACACCCGTAAAACCAAAACTACTAGAATGTGGGGAGATTTCTGTCCCTGCTCCCACATGGTGCCTTCGCAACTCTTCTTTGAATTCAGCAGGAAGCAAAAATAATCCAAACTAAACTAGACCAAAAAAAACGAAGGAAAAATCCCCAAAAGAAATGCAGTGACAGCAAAAATAATTAAAGGGGGGGGGGAACTCTCCCAAATTGAGAAAAACAGGCAGAAAGCGAAATGATCTAAGCACAATCCAAGATGAAGGGCAGTAGGAACTCTCACACCTGTAAGAAATGACTGAACCAAAGGAAAGCCTTCGTCCTCACTGGCTTCCAAATTATTCCTGCCTTAGTACAGCTTGAAAATTCTGGTTCCTCTCCAGACATTCTGATTGGCTGATATAAATTTTGTCAGGCAATTTGGCAGATAAAGAATTAATGCTTAAATTAAATAGTTACCGGGGGAAAGCACAAAGTTTTCATCTACTGCTCTTTTGTTAATACGAATCATATTTTAGAGGCTCTGTTTAGAGAAAAGAACATGAAAAAGAAAAGGACAACCTCTTTTGTGGTTTTGTGAAAGCACAAAAGACCCATCCCTACACTATGTGGTGGAGAAGAAACAACTCCGCTCCTGGCTTGCACTGCTAACATGTGCCCTCCTGTGGCTTTTGCAGGGTTTGTTTGTTTTTTAAATTGAAGGCAAGAAACCAGTTACTGATTCCATACAATCAACAACTTGCACCCAATAAACAGTCTCCTTATTTTGGACCCATGTATAGATGTATTGTTGCTGTTCAAAAATACGAGGCTCAGTCAAAATTATAAGAACATTGACTGGTATTATATAACTGAAACAAGTTTTAACCAAAAACCTAAGTATCTGTTAAATATCAGCACAGTATGTATGCTGTTCCTAATATTGACATTTTTGTAGCTCTGATGGTGTGATTTCTGAGATCTGCAACTACTTATAGTACTGTGTGAAATTTCTTGAAATTGTTCCCAAAGCCCCGATGATCGCAGGGGCCACTGAAGTGTGTTTCATCCACAAGGAAGATATTTCGATTGCCAGGTCTCTGTACAGTGGGGTCTTGACTTAAGAATGACTCGAGTTAAGAACATTTTGACTTAAGAACCGCTCTCGTAGGAAAATACTGACTTGACTTACATACTTAGATTTGAGTTAAGAACTGAAAAAAACCCACGTGGGAGGCAGGGAAAGTGCAAAATCTGAACTTTCAGTTAACTGTTGGCCAGTGAAAAGGGTGCCTGTCTGCTTCCTCACTCCTCCCAGCGTTTAGAGAGTGGATTGGGAGACCGTCTTCGGACTGCCTGGTACTGTACTGCCTGGACTGTATT